AAGAGAATACAACTAGGGTTTACAATCTCACAAAATCTAACAAATAAACCCTCAAACAAAGCTCTCAAATCTCTTACCAACTCTCCCTCAAAGGATGCACAAAACCCTCTCAATGGCTGCTCAAATTCGCCTCATCAAACCCTAGAAACGTGTGTTTTTATTTATAACAAACTCAATCCTAAATAATGTAAGAATTTGAAAACGAGTCTGCCACACCCGGGTATGGCACGCACCACACCCCTGAAAACATGACAGATTCTGCCACACCTGAGTGTGGCAGACACCACACCCCTGACAATAGGGGCAGATTCTGCCACACTGACACCATACCCCTGCTGAATCAGGTGTGGCAGACACCACACCCCTGACAATAGGGGCAGATTCTGCCACACTGACACCATACCCCTGCTGAATCTTCATGTTTACCAACACTTTGAACAATTTAACGCCGTTTTCTACAAAATTAACCCTTTTTCATTGAGTGAAAATACACCTAATTAACCCTTTTTTCGTTGAGTGAAAATACACTAGCACCATTCTCTATCAAAGTGAGGATGGATAATGAAGAAAACAATGAAAATATCCTCTCCTCCTCCCCCCCCGCTCAATATAATGGATGCCGCCCCACCGCATCATATTAACATTTATAGTATGCGTCTTATAAACAATGATTATTTATATCAGGTAGCCCTGTGGTATAGTGTATCACACATGCTTTATATATTACTACAGATAACCGCTTAATAAGAATTGATTCATTGAATAATGGGTAACCGCGTTGGATGCTGAGGATTGCAATTGAGGGGAGGAGGGGGGGGGGAGGGAGTGAATAGGTTTGCTATAGTTTTTCCCTAACACATAGAATAAGGATTACTATGGAAAAATAAAAGTGATCAACCAAACTAAAAACTAACCAAGGAAGACCCAAAATTTTTGTAGTGGTTCAGATAAAAAATTCTACGTTCACTCTTTCTTCTCTCGAAGACTTCCTCACTATGTTAAGAGTTTACATGAATCACAATCTCATTTAGTAGACATACAAAGACCGCACCATAAAATCTACTAGAAATCAATCATCTAACCTAGCTCTCCTCAACAAGTAACACCTAGCACTAGCTAGACCTAACCGTCATTTATCACCAGCTTGAGTATGCCATAAAAACAAGTTTGAAACAAACTACCAAAAATAGTTTAAACACAAAATTAGAAAGATCTTGCAACCCTTTTGATTAGAAAACTATTCTATAAAAGATTGAAGTAAAACTCGATGAAGAATGATGTAGATATTGATTCCAAGGGTAAATCCTCTTGCTGAGAAAATCTGATTTTGTTCAACATGATGAGAAAGAGTTTGTTAAGGCTTCGGAGGTTCAAATCACAAATCGATCTCTTTCAATCTTATATAGCTTCTCATATAAATAAGGAAAGAGATATCTGTTAGACCCTAGAGGGGGGTGATTAGGGTCTTATGCTAATCTAATCCGATTAAATGCCAATTAAAACTAATTCACAAGTTATCCTAGTAAGTATGAAATACAACAAGATATGTAAGCTAGGATAAACAATATGAACAATGAGATATATCCTATATGATGAATATATATATGCAAGGATATATAAACTAACACAAGGGGTAAACAATCTAAACAAGATAGTGGATGATATAGATAATGAGCTAATGACAATGGCGATATAAGATATGAACATAAATATGAATGAACGCCAAAGCACACTCAAACAAGCAATATGATCACGGAGTTCGGACCTTCCGTCCTACGTCTCCGCTCCCCACTCCCGGGGAGAAATCCACTAATACAATCCGGTTTGGAAGTCGGAACTTCTTCTACACACTCGGTTTTCTAGCTAACCGAAAACTCTACAACTCACACTCTTGCAATCACACTCTACACCCACTAAGTGTTGGACCTAGCCGTGTCTCCCTCAAGTGCTCGGTTACAACCACTAGTAAATAAAATCAAATCAACTAAACTCAAATATAAAACTAGCTTTAATAGAAATGATAATTAACAAATAATTATAAGTGAAAGCTAGAGTTGAGTTTAGGAAAACTTCTCTAGATCAAGATGGAGAGATGGAGATTTTAGGCCCAAACGAGAAGATAATCCCCTCCACTTGAGAAAGCTAAAACTGCTTTAAACTAAACCCTTAAACAAGCTTAAACAAGCTTAAACTCTTTTTAAAACCCTTGTTTAAAAACTTCTTTAAAACATTCTTGGATCATTGAGAAGAGATCAGCAATTGGGTATTTATACCCACTTGAAATCTCAGCCAAAACCCCAAAACAGAAAGACCAAAAAGCCCCAGAAAAATCAGCTCAGAAATAGCCGTTAGAACCAACGGCTCTATTGTCGGTCGACCGAAAATTCCGTCGGTCGACCGATGAGAGCAAAAACACGAAGAAAACGTTCTGGATCATCGTCGGTCGACCGGAAATTCTGTCGGTCGACCGATGGAAAAGTTCGGTCGACCGACGGAAAATTCGGTCGACCAAACAAACACTAAACAAGTTTAAACCCTTGTTAAATTTTTTTTAAACCATTCTCTTGTTTTTTTTGAGAAAAGAGTGCAATGGGGGTATATATAACCTCCCAAGAACTGAGCCAAAAATCTGAGCAAAAGACAAAATAGCCCCAAGGCAACGGTCATAAAAAGAGCCGTTGGAACTGTACTGGACAGGTGTCGGTCGACCGATCCGGTCGACCGAAAAAGCTCTCGGTCGACCGGACCGGTCGACCGGACCGGTCGACCGACGAACTCTCTGTCGGTTACTGAGCAAATGAACAATTTACCGGTCGACCGGTGCGGTCGACCGAAAACTGATATGAAAACTGTTTATCTGATTTTGAAATGCTGTTTAAAAATATCAAATAAATTCCAAAAAATGTAAAACTTTGGGGAATGATTGTAGACATGATAATAAACATGCTACAACGACTGGTTTCGAAAAAGGACTTCCCAAATGAAAAATATCATCATTTTACAAAATAGTCCAAAACATGAAAACCTGAAAATTGATATTTTGATATTTTGACTTAAACAACATTTTGAAACCTTATGAAATGATTGTATAGACTTGATAAAAGATATAATATGTTGTTATGAAGTCTATAACCTAGAAATGTAATATTTTCATAAAATTGCATATTCTATGCAATATATTCAAAACACTAAATATGATTTCATTAAATATAAGCTTGTTAAAGGTGAAATCATATATAGGCATATAAACATGAAACAAAATAGTATTTTCCAATTCTATTCAATTGTTTCATAGTAAAACTTGAAAACTATCAAACCAAAACATATATGTATATATATAACTATATATATACATGGAAACCAATAAAATGTGTGTGTATAGATAATTGAGCTTAGAGTACTTAACACACATAATATAAATCCTAAACTACATTACCCAAGCAATCTTGATCTTCATTGTAGATCAACTTGGTACACGTTGCGGATAAAGCTTGAAATTGATCTTTAACTTGAATTGTATAGGCTTCAACCCGACATTCCGCCAACCTCCTTTGGATATCATCGTTGAAGCTCTATTCCATCCATCCTCCAACTCGTTATTTGTCTACAATAAATATGAAAACACAAATACTAGACAAACAACATTAGTGGTAAATTGTTTGTTAAACATCATCAAAACAAGAAGGCCAACAATATCCACATCATAGTGGAAATTGGAGATGAAAGAGATCAATGAACAGCTATGATTACTTCTTAAAAATCTGGAAACACTATCGTTACCATCAATGGTTCCTCAAGACAATCGATGGTTCTCTGAGCATCATCGATGGGTGCCAATAGATCATCGATGGTTTGATTTTGAGTTCTGAAAATTTGTAATTGGTTACTGTACATTGTTTATGGTGTGTGGTGACCATCGGTGGTTCATTGTAGACCATCGATGGCTAGAAATCATCTTTCTAAGATTCTGCAATTGTTCACTGTGTAGACCATTGATGAGATTGGACCATCAATGGTTCACTGTAGTTCAGCTATAGTTTCAAGACTGAAATCAATGTAAATCCTTATTTTTATTTTTTGATCATTTCGCCTCGTAATCTTTGTATATCTATTTTCACCTATGCTATATCATCTCAAGCAAATATTAGTACCAAATGAGAGTTTGATTTTACTTAAACAGAAGCTATTGTATGGACTACATCCTAACAATCTCCCTATTTTAATAATAACAAATTTGAAATTTAAAATACCAAAAAACATGCACATATATATATAGATTAATTATATATATATATAAATATATATATATTATAATATATATATATTTATATATATATATATATATATATATATAATATATATATATATATATATATATATAATATAA